TAGCATCCATTACAAACTTCAAATACGACATCTCAAATAATTTCGGTGGGTATTGTACCCTAAACTCGTCAAAATACAGAATATCGGGAGGTACCGTTATATGGGGCTATACGAAGACATGGACCGGCAGAGACAATTTTCTGTCTTAGGCTGTAGTATCCATTGGGAACTTCAAATACCAAATTTTTAAGAATTCCGGTGAAAAATATCGCTAAAATCATCAAAATACCGAATGTCGGGAGGTACCGTTATATGGGTGCTGTACCAAAACGTGGACCTACATGACCCATTTTCAATACCAAAAGTCCTGCACACATAATATACATTTGAGTAAAATTTCATCAATCTACTTCAATTCGTTCGGAAACTAGAAGCTAGCTAGAGTGATTTCCACAGACGGATAGACGGACGGAAATCGCTAAATCGACATAGAATTTTATGCTGATCAAGAATATGTACACTTTGTGGGGTCCAAAATTTATATTTCGAGGTGTTACAAATGGAATGACAAACTTAATATACCCTCCATACTATGGTGGAGGGTGTAAAATAAAAACATTTTTTAAAGTTTTGAAATGCAATAAAGTAGGCCGAGCTGTTATATGGGGGCCATAGCAAGACGGGAACAATATTCTATTTTAATTATTGTTTTCTATTTCGAGTCTGAAGTATCAAATACAAAATACTGTTGAAAAAATGGCTAGGATCATCAAAATACCGAATATCGGTGGGTACTGTTAGATGAAAATCTTGGACTAATTTGTACAATAGTTTGTTAGCGTTTTTAGAACCTATTATGAGCTACAAATACCGATTTTTATTTTTTTTTTTAAATTTTTTTTTTAGAATTCGTCAAAATACGAAACGTCAGGAGATTCCGTTATATGGGTGCTATATAAAAACTTGAGCCTATTCAGAAAACATTCTGATAAAGGAGATAGAAACCATTACGAATTTTTGGTATCGAATTTTAAACTATGAAAATGGGTTCGTAATCCAAAAAATACCGAATATCGGGAGCTATATGAAATCATATACGATGATCTGTCACACCAGGTAAAACCCATTAATAACTGTAAATACCAAAATCAAAAATATTTCTTGCTCTTAGCTAAAATGATCATAAAACCGAATATCAGGAGGTATCGTTATATGGAAGCTATAGGAAGACGTGGAGTCATATGTACGACGTTCTGCCACCGGATCTAGAACCCATTACAAACTCCAAATTTTAGACAAATTCGTTAGAAAATGTGACTTCAGTCGACAAAATACCGAATATCCGACGATGTCTTTATATGGGTGCTATAGAAAAATGTGAATCTATATTGACTATGTTCAGCTACCAGAGGTATAAAAAATCTGAATACCAAATTTGAAAAAATTCCGTTGAAAAAGTTTATTGAAATCATCAAAACATCGAATATCGGAAGCTACCGTTATATGGAGGACATTCAGAAACGTTGGCCGATATATCTCATTATCAATATCAACCATCCTATATACGCTATAAACTATTTTGCCGAACATAATCCCCCCGAATATAATCATTATTGCAATAATGGGTTGGAGATTATTTCCGCTTCGAAAACGCACATAATCCCCATGAGAAGTATGACCGTTTGTTGTGGGGATTATGTCGCCATGAGGACATAATATTCAGAATTGGCCAAAGGTCCAATACTTAAAAAAACTTCATTTGGCACCACTTTCAGAAATTTCTGGATTTTGCATATGAATTTCTGTTCGAACAACCGGATATTTCCCCCCACGAAACAATTACTTTGCCTTAATCAGGTTAAACATACCCATCCCTTAATGGGGTCTATACCCGCTATCGTTTTGGACATATACATATATGTTATGTATATGTTATCATGAGATGGAGGAAATATTTTCCTCCAAATTTTCTCTATGAGGCAACATTTTTTATATCCTCCACTATACTTGGTATGGAGGGTATATTAAGTTCGTCATTCTGTTTGTAACTCATCGAAATAATAACTTTAGACCCAAAACGGAATAAATATTCTTGATCAGAGTAAAATTCTAAAACGAAGTGCGTCTGTTGTAAGCACGCTAGAGTCAAAACAAAATTAGATATTTCGAGTTCGAAGATCGGCTATATCGGTCCACTTCATCGTATAGCCCCCATATAAAAGTACTCATGATATTCTTTTTTTTTTAAAGATTTTAGCCACATTTTTTAATGGAATTGTCTAAATTTCTACGCAAGGAGTCATTTGTGGTTATTTTGCCCCCTGGAAGAGAATTGTCTACATAGGTCCACGTTAACGTATGTCCCCCATGCAACGTTATCTCCCGATATTCGGTATTTTGATGATATCAACTACATTTTTCAATGGAATTGTCTAAAATCCACACTAGAAGTTCTTTCTAAGCACTTTACCTCCTGGGGCTGGATTCTTGTTCTATGAAAATATGAAATGAAAAATATTTCCTTTATAAAATTTTTCATTTGACATTTCTTTCCTTTATAAAAGTTTTCATTTCACATTTTCATAGAACAAGAATTGACGCCCAGGTCTATATAGGTCCACGATATCGTATATTTTTTTTAAGATTTTAGGGGCATTATTCACCGGAGTTTTTTCAAATTTCGTATTTAGAATTCGTAATGGATAATACAGTATACGACAAAAAATTGCATATGCAAGCCCACGTCTTCGAATAGCAGGTCCAGGTCTTCGTATAGGCCCCATATATCCATATAGGCCCATTCCCAGTGAAGCGTTTGCTTGAGGTGATCTACAATTTGGTATTTTTTAGTGCCAACCTTGCTTTCCAAAATACTCCAGACACAATAGTCCAACGGATTGGTATCCGGAGATTTTGATGGTCATTATGCGCTGGAAATGAAGCGAGGAACCTCATTTTGTAACCATTCTTGGGTGGCGAGTGTTGAGTGCGATGGTGCAGAGTCCTGTTAGAATGTCCAAGGTCTGCGGCCAAAATGTTTTCGTGGCCAAGGCTTTAATACACCTATACCCTCCAGAATATTTTCGCGATAATATTCGGCATTTATTCTGATGCCACGGTCGATTAATAGGAAGGTGCACATTTTCAGCTGATCTCTTTGGCAAATAAACACGATCATTTTGGTTGTTTACAAACTGCTGGACAAGGAATGTTTTCTCATCGGTCATCGGAGAAAACCAAATTCGGCAGTTCACCACTTTCAGCCAAGCGAAGCAATTCTTTGGCTCTTTTGAGTCTATTTTCTTTCTGTTGTGGTTTTTGCACTTTTTGGAATTTCAATGTCTTTACCCCGAGCTCAGGTTTTAATATTTGCCGAATGGAATTTTGCGATGTGTTCAGCTCACGAGTCGCTTCCTTACTTTTCGAATCATTTCTGCTGACGGTAACGAGCAATGGCACGAGACACAAAAGATTTATTCACATTTAAGTGCTGGAGTGCTCTAACGATAGCCACTTGTGCTTTTCCACACAAATATAAAGAAATCACACTATCGCGCTTGAATTCCATCTCGAATAACTTTTTTTCTGGAAAATGCTCACCAAAATGCTTTTGTACGCGTTTAAACAATATAATGAGCTGTCACTGGAATAATTTTAACAGCTGTCGGACGTGTGGCTTAGAAATGACAGCAGTCTGAAGTTGGTTGCAGTTTTTGCATCTCACCCTGTAGTAATTTACGATATCACATACAACGGTACCCACCTATATTCGATATTTGGTGAATTTAGGGACATTATCCACCGGACTTGTTTCAATTTCCGTATTTAGAATTCGTTATGGGTACTACAGCCTCCATATAACGGTGCCCCTAATTTTGGGTATTTTGATAAATTTAACGACATTATGCACCGGAGTTGTTTAAAATTTCGTATTTAGAGTTCGTAATGGGAACTACAGTCTAAGCCAGAAAATTGTATATGCCGGTCCTCCTATATATTCGGTATATTGGAAATTCGGAAATTCGCAGGTCCAGGTGAGGATGATGATTTTAGTGATATTATTCACCGGAATTGTCTCAAATTTGGAATTTGAAGTTTGTTATGGATACTACTGCCTAAGACAGAAAATTGCCTGTGCAGGTCCAGGTTTTCGCATAGCTCCCATGTAACGGTACCTTCCGATATTCGGTATTTTGATGATTTTAGTGACATTATTCACTGGAATTGTTTCAAATTTGGTATTAGAAGTTCATAATAGATACTACAGCCTATGACAGAAAATTGTTCGTGAAGGTCCACGTCTTCGTATAACCCCCATATAACGGCACCTCCCTATATTCGGTATTTTGATGAGTTTAGCTAAATTATTCACGAGATTTTTTTTTCTTTAAATTTCGTGTTTGAATGTTGCAATGGCTTATGACTAAAGTTGCATATGTAGGCCCACATCTTCGTATAGACCCCAATATATCGGCTGTATATTTTTAAGATTTTAACAGAATTTTTAAAGTTTTTTTTTTTTTTTTTTTTTTTTTTTTGAACATTTCCAAATTCTTTCCAAATGGTGCAGGGTATTAATAGTTCGGCACGGCCGAACATAGCAATTTATTTACTTGTTCTCACTGAAAAAAAAAATAATTTTGAGTTCAGATTTTATTACAATTTTAGCTCCATTATAGTTTGAATTGTTTTCTCAAGAAAATCTACACAGTCCAGTCTGGTCGAACTTATATTGTTATTGCTTTAAAGTCTAAAATCAGAACCGGATCATCAAATGCGTTTGCAGACCTACAACAAAAGCAGCAACCAGAAAAAAAAACTGAGATAACGTGGATTGTGCTAACAAAAAGAAAAAAAAAATAATAAATAATAAATAAATAAAATCAATAAAAAAATACAACCAAAACTGGACTGAAAAATACTATCAACTATCAAGAAACTGAAAAAGAGAATTCGACCATTCTTTAATATTGAGTATATCTCACATTTCACTTTTTTTTAAATAATTTTTTTTTTTTTTTTTTTGATGTAGATGGACTTCTGATCAACAGAGTAAAAAAAGTGCAAATAATTAAAATAAAAATCATAATAACATGAGTCCATAGACTATTGGAGTTCAACCAAATAAACTCAAACACCAATTCCCCCAAATGATATGACAATAAAATCGATTTTTTTTTTCGTACCCAGAAAAACTTACTTTAAAAATTCACAATTTTTGTCGACTAATTAAAAACATTGCCTTGCCAGAAGTTTGAAAGTTCAAACCATAAAAAATTACTGCCTTTCCTCAAAAAAAAAAAAAAAAACACACACACACTGGGCACAAAAAACGGAACTTGATGGTCATTAAAAGCACACAGGCCATTACAAATTCAACATCGTCATCTTCCCTTTTTTTTGAGCCATTCGCACTCACTTTCACGGCTATTGAAAGAGAACAGCAACCAAAAAATAGCCGACTAATTGACAAACGTCCTTTGCAGTCAGCCAGTCAGTCATCCAAGCAGCTGCACCAACAGCCTACAGCGGCAGCAGCAGCATCCTCGTCATCACCATCATCAGAAATTACAACACTAATTACGAAAATTGCCTGCGTCAAGGGAAACTGAACTGAACTGAACCGAACCACGCCGAACTGCAAAAGTGCCAACCATTTTGGACACCCAACATTACTGACCAGCAAACTTGCCACTGACGCTGCCAGCCACGTGGGTCACGGTGACATTGACCAAACACTCCAACGAACGAACGAACGAACCGGGGGAAACAAAGAAACCAAACCCAAACAAAAGCGAACAAAAAACATTGCCCATGAAATTACTTTCCCTGCTACTTGCCAGCAAACACTCACACACACACTCGCACTCGCACACACACCACAGCAGAGACATGTCCCTTTTAAATAAGTTAAGTAAAAAACTGCGCTGGCTGCGATGGTCAACCGTATTCGCCATTCTCTTTTACATGTTCTTCATCGGCGTGATATTGCATTCGACCACCTACAAATTACAGCATTCCTTGAAAAACAATCAACAGCATCGACAGAGCCAACCACCTGACCAGCAAATGCCAGGACAGCACCACCAACACAGTCTCAGCCACAGCCATCAACGTAATGACGAGGAATTTGCCACCCTCTACGAGGACATGAAGTCGGCGACACATCAGGCAGCCGGGACAGGCATCGGCGGCAGCAGCAGCAGTGTGTTAACGGACACCCTGACAAGAAGTGCTGTGCTGCCAGTGGCACCCATGGAAGCAGCATCACTGGCCTCGTCCTCATTAGCCACCGCCAGCAAACAGGAAAAGAAAAACCCCTCGTCCTCCTCCTCCTCCTCCACATCGTCGGTAGCATCACCGGAAACTGTGATATTGGTGGCAAGTTCCGCTAATGAGAAACATATTTTGGAAAAGGCTTTCAAGAGGTAAGTCAAACGAAAACCGAAAAAAAAAAACTTTTGTTTTTCAGAGAAATGTATTCCAATTGTTTGCATTCCGAAAGTTACTAATTGAACTACATAGCCATTTGACATTCATCGAGTTGTTTGGCCGGAAACTCTGTTGCCGGGATGGTTGAACAACTGAGTTAAAAGGTGTTAATTTCTTGGCCAAATTTTATTTACAACCTGTCAACGCAATTTCGTTGATGTCGGCCGTAGCATTGATTTACATTATTTTTCAACTAAAATTGTTATGCAGCAGATTGTCCTACTTTTTCAGAGGGGGTTTGGGGAGGGGCTACACTGAAAAGAATTGAAAATTACTGACGTCCAAGGGACTAATGCCAATTCATTTTTGAATTGACTGAAATCAATAACCTACAGAGTGAGATTAAAAACTGCAACAAGATCAAACGCCATAATTTTTACATTTTTTTTTTAATTTTATTGAAAGAAAGCAAAAAATGTCGGAAATAGCATCAAATTTTAGAATACGTTTAGATTTGTTCGTATTGATCACCTTTGGCACGAATTATGGCCTTCAAACGGCCAATGAAACTGTCACACGCTGCCCGAATGTTGCTCTGCAGTATTTTGGCCAATTACCGGGGAAGCGCTTGCTTGAGGTGATTGACACTTTGGTATTTTTTAGTGCCAAACTTGCTTTCCAAAATACTCCAGACACAATTGTCTAACGGAATGTCCAAGGCCTGCGGCCAAAATGTTTGCGTGCCCAAGGCTTTACTACACCCTCCAGAATATTTTTGCGATAATATTCGGCATTTATTCTGATGCCACGGTCGATATATACGAGAGGAGAGCGACCATCTGCTGTTATGGCGGCTCACACCATCACCAGTTTCTCATCTCACCCTGTATTGACCTGGGGACAATATTATATTGACCTAGGCTCAATATCCTACTGATATAGGCTCAATATCCTATTGACCTCTGGGCAATATCTTATTGACCTCTGGTCAATATCCTATTGACCTCTGGTAAATATCTTATTGACCGCTGGTCCATATCATATTGACCTCTGGGCAATATCATATTGACCTCTGGTCTCTACCCTATTAACCTCTGGTCAATAACCTATTGACCTCTGGTCATTATCCTCTTGACCTCTGGTCAAAATCCTATTGACCTCAGTCAATAACCTATTGAGCTCCGGACAATATCTTATTGACCTTTGGTCAATATCTATTGACCTCTGGTTTATATCATATTGACCTCTCAATGTTACATTGACCTCTGGTCAATATCCTTTTGACTTCTTTTCAATGTCTTATTGACCTCCGGTCAATATCCTATTGACCTCCGGTCAATATCCTATTGACCTCTGTCGAATACCCATTGATTTTGGGTCAATATCCCATTGACCTCTGGTCAATATCCCATTGACCTCTGGTCAATATCCTATTGACCTCTGGTCAATATCCTATTGTCCTCTGGTCAATGTCCTATTGACCTCTGGTCAATATCCTATTGACCTCTGGTCAATATCCTTTTGACCTCTCAATGTTACATTGACCTCTGGTCAATATCCTTCTGACTTCTTTTCAATGTCTTATTGACCTCCGGTCAATATCCTATTGACCTCTGTCCAATACCCATTGGTCAATATCCTTTTGACTTCTTTTCAATGTCTTATTGACCTATGTCCAATACCCATTGATTTTGGGTCAATATCCCATTGACCTCTGGCCAATATCCCATTGACCTCTGGTCAATATCCTATTGACCTCTGGTCAATATCCTATTGACCTCTGGTCAATATCCTATTGACCTCTGGTCAATATCCTATTGACCTCTGGTCAATATCCTATTGACCTCTGGTCAATATCCTATTGACCTCTGGTCAATATCCTATTGACCTCTGGTCAATATCCTATCGACCTCTGGTCAATATCCTATTAACCTCTGGTCAATATCCTATTGACCTCTGGTCAATATCCTATCGACCTCTGGTCAATATCCTATCGACCTCTGGTCAATATCCTATTGACCTCTGGTCAATATCCTTTTGACCTCTGGTCAATATCCTATTGACCTCTGGTCAATATCCTATTGACCTCTGGTCAATATCCTATTGACCTCTGGTCAATATCCCATTGACCTCTGGTCAATATCCTATTGACCTCTGGTCTCTACCCTATTAACCTCTGGTCAATAACCTATTGACCTCTGGTCATTATCCTCTTGACCTCTGGTCAAAATCCTATTGACCCCAGTCAATAACCTATTGAGCTCTGGACAATATCTTATTGACCTTTGGTCAATATCTATTGACCTCTGGTTTATATCATATTGATCTCTGCTCCATATTGACCTGTGCTCAATATTGACATCTGCTCCATATTGAACTGTGGTCAATATTGACCTCTGGTCAATATACTATTGACCTCTGGTCAATATCATATTGACCTCTGGCCAATATCCTATTGACCTCTGGCCAATATCCTATTGACCTCTGTTTAATGTCATATTGACCTCTGGTCAATATCCTATTGACCTCTGGTCAATATTCTATTGACCTCTAGTCAATATCCTATTGATCTCTGTTCAATATCCTATTGACCTGTGGTTTCTATCATATTAACCTCTATTTAATATTCTATTGACCTCTGGTCAATATCCTTTTGACCTCTCAATGGTACATTGACCTCTGTTCAATATCCTTTTGACTTCTTTTCAATGTCTTATTGACCTCCGGTCAATATCCTATTGACCTCTGTCCAATACCCATTGGTTTTGACTTCTGGTCAATATCCTATTGACCTGTGGTTAATATCATATTAACCTCTACTTGATATTCTATTGACCTCTGGTCAATATCCTTTTGACCTCTCAATGTTACATTGATCTCTGGTCAATATCCTTTTGACTTCTTTTCAATGTCTTATTGACCTCCGGTTAATATCTTATTGACTTCTGTCCAATACCCATTGAATTTGGGTCAATATCCTATTGACCTCTGGTCAATATTTTATTGACCTGGTCTCTATAATGCTATTGACATCTCTCCAAAGTTGTGGATGAATATCATCTGACCTCAGCACTTCTTCTCTTCATTCATTTCTCTTCGTTTCTCTCGGTGCAGTTTTTTTCTGCGAATCCAGAACACATCACTCATATAACAAGCGCTCCATGTCATGTCATTCTACTTTGGGTAATCAAGTATTCCAATCTGACAGTGGATTCGCAATTGTGCTCGATGTAATCCTCAACACCAACATCGGCATGGTGTTGGATGGCTACAAGCTCGTTATCGTTGGCCAGCATCAGTTGCAACAGCAACAGCAACAGACCAAACACCATTACCATTATCATCATCGTCATCATCATCGCCATCGTCACCATTCTCGTTGTCGTGATCTCCATCATCGTTATCTCTGCCACCATCATCATTTTCCAACACCATTACTGGTGGGCCTCTGTGGATGATTGTGTTGCTGTAGCTGTTGGAAAATGTCACTTTGTCAGTCGGTCATTGTGTATTCCATCAATTTGTTAGCGTAGGTTGTGACAATGCATTCATTCGTCCTTTCATTGTTGGCCGGCCATAGTGGGTCATTAACAACTGGCCCAAAAGGACTTCTCTGATACATTGCAATTTATTATATGTTTTCTGCCTCCTCCTGCTCCTCCTTCTCCACTTCTTTAGCGCCTTCTTTTGTGTTCCGGAGCAGAGTAACAATGGTCTCTCTGTTGTATTGTCACCATTGATGAGAGCCATACAATATGTGTCTGTGTGTGTTTATGTGTCACACAATTTCGAAAAGTGAAATTGAAATTAATTATTTTCCATGTCCATTTGCAAAAGTATCTCTTTTTTTTTGTTTAAATGTGTTGACCGACTTTCGCGGGTCAGTCCGTATGTTTGCTGCAAAATGTAATTCCGCAGATGCTACCAATCCACTTATGAATAATTTTTATATGACAAATAAAATAACGATGCCGATGATTTAAGAATTTAATATAAAAATAATTTTGAATTAAAACAAGTTAAAAAGCAGTAAGTTCGGCCGGGCCAAACTTTTAATACCCTCCACCATTTGCAACAAATTTCGAAATTTTCAAAAAAATTAAATCCTTCAAAAATTCTGTTAAAATTTTAAAAATAGCGAATATTGGCGTTATATTGGGGTCTATACATAGGCATTGCTTGTCATAAGCCATTACCATATTAAAATTCAAAACTTGAAATAATGTAGCTAAAATCATCAAAATATCGTATATAGGGAGGTACCTTTATATCAGAGCTATGCGAAAACCTGGACCAACATAGACAATTTTCTGTCACAGGCTGTAGCATCCATTACGAACATCAAATACAACATCTCAAACAATTTCGGCGAGTATTGTACCTAAAATCGTCAAAATGCTGAATATAGGGAAGTACTGATATATGGGGCCTATACGAAGACCTGGACTTGCATAGACAATTTTCTGTCACAGACTGTAGTTCCCATTACGAACTCTAAATACGTAATTTGAAACAATTCCGGTGAAGAATGACGCTAAAATCATTAAAAAAAAACCGAATTTTGGAAGGTACCGTTATATGGGGGCTATACGAAGACCTGGACCTGCACAAACAATTTAATGTCATAAGCTGTAGTAACTTCAAATATCATATTTGAAACAATTCCGGTGCATAATGTCGTTAAAATCATCAAAATACCGAAAATAGGGAGATACAGATATATATTGGTGCTACACGGAGACATGGACCAGCACAGACAATTTTCTGTCCTAGGCTGTAGTATCCATTTCGACCTTCAAATACCAAATTTGAAAGAATTCCGGTGAATAATGTCGCTAAAATCATCAAACTATCGAATATCGGGAGGTACCGTTATATAGGGGCCGTATGAAAACGTGGAGCTACATGGCCCAATTACGAACCAAACCTGCCTACTGGCCAAATAAACACGTGTGCAAAATTTTAGCCTTCTATCTCAATTCGTTCGAAAGATAGG